ACCTTAATGCCACTAAAACACCACCATCATCGCCACCCGCTTATAGCACCAAGTGCAACCCCACCCCACCACCCCCCGCCATAAATCTTTATTCCCATTCAGGCTATGGCTCAGGGGTAGTTTTTCTTTTGTTGTTGTTGTTGTTAGTTTCTGATAGGCGCGCGCGTGGGAATCGCTCTTTGAATCGTTTGCCACGAGCCGTGAGCAGCTTATTGACTTTTTATTAATGCCGCGTCTTCTTCTGTCCACTTGCAGCTCTCGACTCGCTCAGCTACGATCCGCAGCGCGTGGCCATGGACTATCACACGATCGGGTTCAGGGAGTGCGCCGCCGAGGTGGCACGCTACCTGGTCACCATCGAGGGCATGGACATACAGGATCCGCTGCGGCTGCGCCTGATGTCGCACCTGCAGTACTTTGCCCAGCAGCGCGAGATCTCCGGCGTGGCCGCCTATCAGCCCAATTGTGCGGCGTCGCCCTATCAGACAGCCTATGCAACGGCCGCCGTTGCGCCCTCCGCCAGCTCCTCGTATGTGCCCAGCACTGGGGGCTACATGGGCGCCTCGCCGCACCATGTCAGCCGCTCCAGCGTTGCGACCACGGCGAGTGGTGCAGCTGGCAGCGAGAGCCACTCGGCCGAGGCAGCCACACAGCAACAGCAGCAGCAACAACAACCTCAACAGCAACAGCAACAGCAGCAGCAACAGCAGCAGCAGCAACAACAGCAGCAGCAACAACAACAACATTATACACAGGAGCATGGCGCACATGCCGAGCAGCCGCAACAGGTGCCACAGTCGGTGCAACAGGTGCAACAGGGGCAGCAGGTGCCCACCTACATTGAGCTGACGAACAGCCATCGCAACGAGCTGCCGCCCAGCGAGACGCTCAGCTACAGTGCCACGCCCCAATATCCAGTCGCTGGCAGCCAGGACTACAATGCGAGCGCCCTGCAATATGCCGCAGCAAACGGAGCTAAGCCCTATAGACCCTGGGGCGCTGAAATGGCCTACTGAATGGGAGAACCGCGAATAATTCGCAGAAATTCTCAACAATTTTCTAAAATTCCAAATAATTGCAACAAAATTCAGGAAATGTTTATGAACTCTCCATAGTTTCAAAAAAGAGTTTTTAATACTTTCCAGGCTGGCAATATTGAAAATGATCCAAAATCGTTGTTAATATCATAAATAACTTTTTTGTATTATTGTAAATTATTCTGCAACTGTGTAATCTCAACTAATTGAGAAGCTGGGAATATTGTAAACAAATATTCAACGAATCTCCAATAATTCAGTGTTCCCGAATGACCCATTAGATCCCACATCCCACATCAACAAACTCCCAATATCTGTTGGCAATCAAGTTCTAGTCAAAGATCGATCAAAGCCGAACATGTGTGATAGCTCTTAAGTTGTGAAAATCTAAGGAGTTCTAGCTAGTCCATGAACTCCTTGCTCTCTGTATATAGTTTTAAATGCCTAGCATAAGTACAACTAAAGTTTTCAACATTTTTCTACGAATTGTATTTAAAAGCAAATGTTTTATAAGCCTAAAGTTAAGTGTAAATAAAAATAATAAATATTTTTATAATGAAAAAAAAAAAAAAGAAATACTTCTTATATTAAATAGTTTTTCCAGAGATAATTCCATTTATAATACTTAACTAGAATTGTGTTCCTTATATACCAATTACAATGCGAGCTGGATGATTTAGAACATGCCTAGAGGACTAAACCGGAGTCGATAATCTTCAACGTTTAATAACACCAATAATATACATATTTGCAGATACATTTACATATGTAAATAGTTCTCTCACTGCCATCTTGTTTTGCGTTAAACTGTTTACCAATTCCATTTCAAAATAATTTGTTTAAATAAGCAAATGGATATGCAAATCTCCTTTTGGTTATATTTCGCTGCATGAAACCCATTGAACTGGAAGAGATAATCGCGACTAATAAGCTCTGGCCACTGTCGACGACCCTTTGCTTCCGCTTCCACTCGCGCTGACCACTGACCACTGACCGTTGGTCAGGCTGTGGGTCCAACCCTTCGGCATTGTTTTTGGGGGTCAAGCGTGCATTGAGCGCTGAGCATCCATATTTATTAGTGGTTTACCAGTTGGCAATTTGCATAAAGACAAAGCGTTAACTAAACACACAAAACACAAAACTCAGCGAAAAACCCCTAACGAATTAGTGCGACATTTTCTGAGCGTAATTAGAAACAGGCTGCGCCAAGGTGTGAAGGGTCTCAGCACCCGACAAACCCTAAACCAGACAAAGCCTCTCAGCAACCTTAAGCCACAGACGTAATCTATTTCCAACTGACTTGCTTGACAAAGGAACGGTAAACGCGGAGAAAACTAACTGAAGTTGAAGAAATATAGAATATAATATATATATAAAAAAAAAAAAAAAAAAAAAAAAAAAAAAACATATATAATTAATAATTAAAATTATATAAAACAAAATTTAAAAAAAAAGAAGAGAGTTATTATCGTAAATATAGAAATATTATTATTTCGTGTCAGTAATTTTATTTAAACGAAATTGATTGGAATATATAAAATAAAATAGATTTAAGTCCTTTGCTGTAAATATTTTTATTAAATATTATTATTATTATTTTATTTTTAAATTATTAATTATTATTATTGTTTTTATTAAAAAAAAATTCTTCTACACAATGTTTCGCATCATCATCTAAAATGGACAATTTCCCACACAAAAATTAAAGTTTAATTGAAATTACGTAATTAAATGATATCAGGCAGCAAAAATTTCGAGTACGTGCTGCCAAAGGGCCACAGAGAAGAAGCCAAAAGTTCTATTCAAATAGATGTAATAAGCGTTTCCGTACCAACAACCAGCAAAAGCAACAAGGCACAAGGATAACAACCCCTAAGGGAAGCCTTCTATGCCCTCCTTTGAGCTCATGTTGTTGTTGTTGGTGTTGTTGTTGTCATTGAATTGAAACAATCTTCTGCGCATTAATTTAACACTGAAGGTTAAACATAAATGTTTTCAATATTTAACGCGTTGCCAGGGCTGAAATCTCTCAACTCTCCAGGCTCTACGTGTCATGTGAGAGTCTCGCCCGCTTTGACTTCCCACGCAGAAATACCACCCCAAAAAAAAGTTTCAATGATTTTTACATGCATATTTTTTTGTGGGGTGTTCCCATTTTGGGCCGAGATCAACGTAATATACACGTCAAAACTTCCAATTAGAGACAATCATTCGGCCACGGGACAGAAGACCTAACACATCATCGACTCTTCGCATTTGTTAGGGGTTGATTCGAACGAGTTCGCCTACAAAAACCAAAGCAAAAGCCAAAATTCATTTCATTTCTTGGATAACATTCAGAGCAACAGGACGAACACTCAGGGTGGATATACATATGTAGATGGATATACATACATATATAATATTAAAGACCTCCATATGGATTTGAATTGTTTTGGTTGGTTTTATTGCGGTTCGAGTCAATTAAGTGGAATATTATGTGATTTCTTTTGCTGTTTGCTATTCTTCATTGAATGGTTTTTCCGTGTTTAACCTGTCAGAAAAATTTCCATATGAGCAATATTTATAGATCAGAGCTATGTATATTGGCACAGCTGCTGAATGGATTATAAATATATGCACACATGATGCCAAACGCAAATTATATGAATCGAGTTCAGAATCGCGTACTTTTGTCCTTTTATATGGTGCATGACCTCAATGGTTCGCTGAGCACTCATTGCTTAATCGTTAGAAAACGTTTGCGATCTATTTTCCATTATCTAACTGAAGGACATCAAAATTATCAGAATTACCCAAATAAAAATCATATAATAATGGAAAAATATTTAATAACATGAGAATATATATTTTAATACTTAAGGTATAGATAATATAAATTGTAAAATTAAGATATTCAAAATCCCAATTATTGCTCCCTAAAGCTTCTTGGTCTAGGAGCAACAATATGCGTTTGCTATAAAAGTTGCCATAATAAATAGGAGTTTGTTCGCATTTGAACTTAACGTAAAGCTTTAAACTTTCACAGCTGACATTGTTTTGATTTTAAATGCGTGTGCTGCACACAAGCGCAAGCACACGCTCGCACCGCACACATACGCACATGCGCCCACATGCATACGCTTATCAGATCTCACTTACACACTCTCACATCTTGTGCGCAGCCAACGAAATTCGTTTGATATTTGTTTGGCTTCGGTTATCGCTGAAAACGTGCATGAATATTGTTTTTGCTCATTATCATGTTGTTTATAATCAACATTTCAATATTTTTGTTATAGTATTCTGCACTCAAAAGCTTTGCTTTTACTGTGCAACAGCATGCACTTGCTATAAATGTTGCCATAATAATTTGGAGTTGAGAGATGAGCAACATTTGTCCCAGCTGGCGTTGCTTTGAAGTTCTAATACAATGTAGCACATACTCACACGTAAACGCACTCAAATGACATACAAATAACACACTCACACATGCGCCTAGATCTCTCACTCACATGTGTACATACATACATAGATACGTATTTTGTACACAATCAACGAAATTCGATTAATTTTTGCGGTTTATCGTTGCACACGAGCATGAAAATTGTTTTGTTTATTTCCGAGTGCTATTCAAAAAGAACAAATGCCGTTACTTGTTGCCGGTCCTTATACATATAGTATATAGCTTTTTATATTAGTGTATATTAAGTGTAACGCGCAACGAAATACGCTGCTCCACGAAGCCAGCTGCTGCTCCATCATCTCCTGCTCGCTTTCTGTGATGTAATGTGATTTTCTGCGTGCCTTGAGAGAAGGAAAGATGTGGAGCACAACATAAATGTGGACCCAGAGACTGACACGAGCATTGGCGCTGAGCCAAGGTGTAAACAAAATGCGCCACAGAACACGGCGTAAGTGAAATGCTTCCGCAAATATAAAACTGATGCAAATTAGAGATAACAGCTTTCTATATTAGATTATATATGTATGTATGTTTCTTCTTATGCTTAGACATGGTTTAATGCCATGGCACCTGGTTGCCGATGGTGCCCTTTTTATAGTACTTTGCTGTGGCTGCTGCTGTCGTTGCCAGCGCCGCCGGCGTAGTTGGATTTGGTTCATAGGTTGGTCCACTGCCCTCCGCCTTGAGCACCGCTGCACACTTCCACTGCCGTGTGTAGTTCATGCGCCAGATCCTAACGCAACCATCGTCCCCGGTAGAGATTAGCATTGTGGCCAGCATATTCCAACAGACCCGCCAAACCGGGCAGTTGTGTTCGCTAAACTTCAGTGTTTGCAGCTCCAATTTGCCAGCGCCCGTCGAATCACTAGAAATACAAAGTTAACTATTATAGATTTTAAAAATTTACACATGAACTGAGAACCCACGTCGCCCCTCGTATATTGACTATATAGAGATCCTTGCTGGCCACGGCAAGCATGTGAAATGTGCGTCCTGCATTGGGAGCAAAGGCAACATCTGTCACGGGATCTGTGATATCGTTGACTGTTTCAATTTTAACGCATTTTCGCGCATTTTCGCTGTAGGCGTATAGAAAGACCTTGCCAGTGGGCGTGGCAGATTCATCGCTGCCAGCCTGCAAAGATATTCATCGATAAATGTTGATAAGTCTTAGGTTCTTCTCCACGCTACTCACCGCTAGCAACTGGGTGACCATATAAGTAGATGTGTTCCATGAAAGGCAGCTCAATGACAATTTATTTGGAATCTCATGCTGTACTGGCCATTGGGACAGATTCATTATGTCGGGTGCTTCGTAGATACGTATGATGCCATCTGCCGAGGCGGTGGCTAGGAGCAGACCCAGATATTTGGGTGCAAATTCGACATCAGTAACGCTGGTGCGTGAGTCGACGAGCGTTGTGCGTCGCACCCAGCGTCGGGAGGGCGAATTTGTGACTGTTGTCACCTTTTCGCCCATCACCTCTTCCCAAACGGAGGCGGTGCGATCGAAGGAGCAAGTAGCTATCACCTGACCGAATTCCGGATGAGCCCAGGACACACGCCAAATAGATCCGGAATGCGCTTTCCAGCTGCTCGTAACCGACCATTTGCCCTGATCATCCTCGTCCCATATCTACAAGGGATAGAGAGACCTAAGTATTAAAAGAATTTTTGCTTTCAGTTCCTCCTCACCTTCACAGTCTGATCACTCGAGCATGTGGCCATGCGACGTCCATAGTAATCGAACACAACATCGTGTATGACATCCTTGTGGTCTGCGATAATTGGCTCCACATCGAACATGTTTTGTGTTTCTTTAATTATTTGGGAAAACAAACAAAAACGCGGCTTTTTCTCGCAGCAAATGTTGCAGATGATTGCTAGCGCTGCTAACTTGTGGCAGTTTCATCAAGTTGCCAGCACTTTCAAGTGCTGTGCAACACTAGTTGTCGCATATCGCTTATCGTTATCGTAGACTGCTCTTAATCAGTATCGGATTCATATTAACGCGTATAAAAACCACTGATAAACGTAAAATATTTATTAAATATGTTCTTTAACATATGTTTAACATACATGGCGCGCTAAGCGAGCCAGTGCTTAAAGTGATTAATCAATGTGATGCTTTGAATTAAGCATAAGCTACCGAACGAATCACGCGAGCCACCCACAGGCCACAGAACCCAATTGGACAAAACATATTTACAGTTAAAGAAAAGCAAAATTGCTAACAAAAAGAGACGCGCTAAACGCAATACAATGGAGAAAAGTAAGTCAATGGCTAGCTAGGGCGTTTAACCAAATGTCCAAGTGCCTAATTAATTTGCGTTTAGTGACTTTTCATACATAAATATGAGCATATGTAAATGCAATAGTTTTTGTAAGTGCTTTTCGTTCTAAGGGGCAAAGCACGGGTTATTCACCTCACTTGCATAAATCAACATTCAAATAACGGCGCTAATATGTAGTTCTCACTGTTTCTGTGTGTGTGTGTGCTTGTGTTTGCATTTGCATATTAATTTGTTGTTAATTTAATGCCATAAGCGGAATTCGTAGTGCTGGCCAGCATAATTTGTTCAATATGTTTGCGCTCTCAGTACTTTTCGGTCCTGCTCTTGGCTTTCCGCGCACTGTCTCTCTCTCACCGCTCTCACAATTACTCTCTTTTGGCTCTCACCTCATGTTCTGACCTTGATTTCTATTGGACTCGCATATCGCGCGATGTCCGCATGATACTATGCTGGTGTAGATGTGTGTGTGTCACTGTGCTTGTATGTTTGTTGGTGTGTGTTTCAGCGGAACTGTTGTGGGTGGATTTCAAACCGCTTCCCTGAAAAGTAGTCGAACGAAAGCCGGCTTCAATTACTTAATAGTTAAATTGCCAGTATATGTGTTTGTGTGTGTGTATGTGTGTTTGCAGCTTTGTTTGTGTAATTGGAGATGGCTTCTCGTACGTTAGTGGCATCACGTCATAAAACTGTACAAGCTGTGCTTCTGATAAGAATGCATACATATGTACATATATTTGTTCATTTATGTTTGTGTACATATGTGTGAACCTGCTGTTTTGTTTGAATTTGTTTATGGCATATCAGGAACAGACGTCTATAGGTTGCGAAACACGCGTATGCTGACGATCCTAATAGCTCTGGCCACGCGTCCAGCATGAATAATTCTGATAAGAATCTTCTTGGTATTGGCCTTGTATTTATGTACTGTTAACCGGTCTATTATTTATCAAAATGTAAATAAATAAATGGCGAAACGTAAATAAAGTGTTAATCATAGCCGGTCGTTGCCGTATTTAACATTGTGTACTTTTGTTTGCATGATCGGGAACTAAAATGAAGAGAATCGGAAGAATTTTTTTATTCTTATCAGCTAGTGTTTTGCCTGACTTTTAAAAAACCTTCTGAAAGTTGCATGTGTCTTGTCGTTTTTGTTTTTGAATTTGACTACACACACACTCAGTTAGCACATGCCAATCAGAATCACAAGTTAATCAATTTTGTTGTTGCTAGTTAAAGTCATTTGTAATCAGCTTTTCGAGCTGCTGACGTGCATTGCCCAGTGCAATTCAGTTCAATTTGGGATGGATAATGTTGTTGTTGCTGTTGTTGTTTTAGTCATGACCCTGAACGATGTCCAGCGAGCGCATCATCAATGTCAAGCAATAAAGATTAAGTTAAAGTTGCGCAACAACAACAACAGCGCTGACAATAACAACAGTAACAACCTTGACATTGAAAGCCAGAGTGGGAGGGAGACAGATAGAGATAGATATTGCATCTCTCTATAAACACTGTTTGTTATCGATTTATCAAGCTCTGTTATCGCAAGTTGCGCGCCAAACTGTTGAGCAAATAAACAAAACAAAAAGCTCATAACAATAAGGAAAATAAGACAGTAAATAAATAAAACGCTGCTGCTTGCAGCATTTTCTGTGCAGTCAGCAACATGTTGGCTGCAGCTGGCAAGACCCAAGCGGTTAACATACAATACATGCTCTAGCTATGCTCATACACATATGTATACCTACACACGCACTCATACACCTGTCGACGCACTCTTAGCAGTTCAACACACATGCTTGAGCATGTAGTTGCGTCGACTGCGCTGTCCACTGGTCAGCAACAGCGACAGCGGCAGCGGCAGCGGCACCAGTGATCGATAGTGTGCGTCTGCCTCAGCAGTCAGTCGCATTCCAAACGTCGCTCAGTGTGGTTTAGTGAGGAGTAGCAGCTCGTGCGTGACTTGTTGCTTTTATTCTGTGTTTGTGCCGCGTGCCTTAAAGAAAGGAAGGGACAAGTGTTATATATTGCCCACTAGCTGAACAGTACTAGTGTTGGTAAAATATTTGCATAATAATTATATAAATATACGTATGTATTTATGTAAAAAAGAATTGAATATGTTTAACGTGTGTGATTGGTGAACCCCAATTGATAGAATAATCAATTGATAAAAGCTTAAATTCCATATCAATTATATAAATTGAAATTAAATATGTATTTGGCAAAATTTCTTCAAAATTGAAAATCCTTTTGCAAATTTAAAGAAAAATTCAATTCATATTTCATGTTATTATTTATGCAAATTTTTATATCTTTTTACAAGCTCAGCTAGAAATCAAGAGATTTAGCTTCAAAGCATACAAAAGAAACCCTATCAATAACAATTTCATAGAACAAAAACTCAAACTACTTAACTAAAATTGATACTGTTGCACAATTATGGATTACGTTGGAAGGCCTCTAATTGGAATTGTCGTATATGTCCAAGTGGAATTGAACGTATTTCTCTAGGTTTTCTTTTCGCTTTTTGTGCACACCCTGGCATACTTACATATCGTAATGGTTAAAGCATTGACCTCTTCTATATTCACAATCTTGCATTTGCATAGTCACAAAAACAAAAAAACCAGAAAACGAAAAGTAAAAAACAAAATAAAATCAGTCGCTGTCCATTTTTCATGTCTTTTTATACTCGCGCCAACAATGTGTAAAGAGAGTATATTTATTTTGTTGCTAGGCGCGGGAAGATTTGAAAACTTGTATAGGTTATGGAGGAATATAATTGATATAGATTATTAATTTATATAAATATATTTAAATTTATTTAAATCTTGCAAATATTGTATGTGTGAATAGCTTTATAGTCGTCGAATTGTATTGACCCATTGAACTGAGTGATAAGAAATCAAATTTATATATAAATAAAGAAATTTGACATTAATCCCCAAGATATGCAGACAGATCACCATTAGCCTGTTTTAGGAGCTTCTAAATTATGCTATTAATAATATTTTTTATATTTTTCTACAATCTTAAATCAAAGCATATATAAGCATTAAACAAGACATTAATTTCAAGCTAAATATATAAGGCGAGTATTATGCAGTCAGTTTTTAAATGTTTTGTTGCCGTTTCTCTTTTTGGTTAATATTCAAATGCGCAGTAAACCCTAGAAAAACAAATTTTAAGTAAAATAATTTTTGTATACACTTTGATAAGGTAAAAAGGGCAGACCTACAAAAGGTTTTATTAGAAGAGTAATAAAAACTTTTAATTCATTATTGTTAATTCAGAGAACTTTACTAAAAATAAAAACTTATGGAATTTTTTTAAAATCTATATTTATATATTCCAGAGCTTATCAGTTATGCAAGTATATATATATATGTATATATATAAATTGCCAGTCCATATGTTTATATACCTTTGTATATATAAAATATTTGTTACATAATGTCTAGTAAATTCATAATATATAAAAAAGTTGACTTTATGTTTTGTTATATTTACCGTATCAAGTTTTACTTTCCAGTTAAAAGTTTTGTTAACAAATCTTTGTAAGAAAAAACTTGCGATAGTTCTTAAGTTCCAACTTATTTGTTATGAAACAAAATGCTTCACTTTCTTATATAATATGTCAGCGAAGAGTATTTCAGATTCGTTACAAAATGAACTTGTTTAATGATTCACTCAATGAAAAAACTAGCTTAACTTTAATTTTTGTTTATCGTTTTTGGGCTTCACACACAAGTTCGTTAAATATATTCAATAATACAAAATATTGATGACTTTAACCTCTTGAACTCGTTTGATCAGCTTCCCTACATATATATTTACATATTATATATATATAAATAAAAGCAACAAATATAAAACCTCTATAGGATATTATCAAAATTTTTTGTATATTTTTTTTTGTAGCTCTTTATTTGAATGTAGCCGATGCTTATCGCATTTTTTATCACTCTGGCGTTTATTGCATTTCTCTTGAATTTGCTCTTTGCTCGCCAAAGAGAAATAACACCAATTCCAACTAACAACAACAACAGCAACAACACCAACAACAATAGTAAGCACCATTTTGTTAGCCAATTAAAGCTTCACTTGCGTACACGTCCACAACCTAACACAAGCACTTCAACTTGAGCTTTTCAACTTTGATTAACTGCTTAACACAGACACTATCTCCCTCTCTCTCTCTCTCTCCCTCTTGCACACAGACAACTCCAGTGTTATTGCGGCTACAGCAACAACGTCGGCAACGGCAAAGGGCAGCGACCAACAACAACAACAGCAGCAGCAGCAACAACAACCACAACAACAACAGCAGCAAAAGCAACAACGTTTTCCTAAGCCTTGCATAAAGAAAGTGAAATTCTCTAGCGAGAGCCTCAAAACGGATGTTGATGGCCTGTGCGAGCAGTTGAAGGAGAGCAGCGTTCTAAGCGACTTGAATAATTTTCATATAAACAATAATAATAACAATAACAACGACATTGACAACAAATACAATAACAAGATGAGTGAACAAGAGGCAACGACAAGCGGCGAAACGACACAGGCCACGACCACTGATGGCGATCGTCCCAGTTTTTTGGTAGCGTTATCTT